TCCCAAGCAACTGGGACCACAGGCGCCCGCCACAACACCTGGCCATTTTTTAGTTGCAGCCATCATTGTTGTTTGGCGGGCCCGGGCTGGGGATACGAACCCGCCACCTTAGGTGTATGTGGCTGGCGCCTTAGCCGCTTGAGCCACATCTTTTATTGTTGATTGAGTTGTGAGAATTCTTTTTTTATCCTGGATATAAGACCTTTGATAGATGTTTACTGATATTTTCTTTTTTGTTTTGCTTTGTTTTGGTTTTGGTTTTTTTGCAGTTTTTGGCTGGGGATGGGTTTGAACCCATATGGGATTGGTGCCTACTCCTTTGAGCCACAGGCACCGCCCATTTTTACTGATATTTTCTCCTGAGTGTGGCTTGCCTTTTTATTAACTGTATTTCAAGGGGTAGAAGTTTTTTATTTTGATGTTACATCAGTTTTGTTTCTGCTTTTTATATGCGATTTAAGAAATTTTAAATCAGTGTCACTAAGATCTTCTTGCTTTTTTCTAGAAATGTAATAGTTGTTTTTAGAGACAGTCTTGCTCTGTTGCCCTGGATAGATAGAGTCTGTGGTGTCAGTTCACAGCAACTTCAAACTCTTGGGCTCAATTGATCCTCTTGCCTCAGCCTCCCAAGTAGCTGAAACTATAGGTGCCCAGCTAGTTTTTCTATTTTTAGTAGAGATAGGGATTACTCTTGCTCATACTGGTCTCAAACTCCTGAGCTCAAACAGTGCACCCACTTCAGCCTCCCAAAGTGCGTAGGATTACAGATGTGAGCTACCATGTCCAGCTAGAAGCTTAATAGTTGAGTTCTTACATCTAAGTCTCTGATTCATTTTGAGTAATTTTTTGTGTATGATGTGAGGTAAGGCTTATTTTTCCCATACAGGTACCAGTTGTTCTGACACCACTGTTAAAAGATTCTTTTCTTTTCTTTTTTGAGACAGAGTCTGTGTCACCTTCAGTAGAGTACTGTGGCATCATAGCTCACAGCAACCTCAAACTCTTGGGCTTCAATAATTCTCTTGCCTCAGCCTCCCAAGTAGCTGGGGCTACAGGTGCCCACCAAAGTGGCCAGCTGTTTTATTGTTGTAGTTATTGTTGTTTAGCTGGCTTGGGCTGGGCTTGAACCCACCAGTTTCTGTGCATGTGTCTGGTGCCATAACCACTGTGCTACAGGCGCCAAGCCAAAAGATTCTTTTCTTTACTGAATTGTTGGATATCTTTTTTTCAAAATTCAGTTGAGTCCCTTCGTGGTGGCTCATGCCTGTAATCCCAGCACTTTGGGAGGCCATGGCCAGAGGATTGTTTGAGGCCAGGAGTTTATAACTGGCCTGGGCAACATAGTGAAACTTTATCTCTACCAAGATATACTTTTGGCTCGGCGCCTATAGCTCAACCGGCTAAGGCGCCAGCCACGTACACCTAAGGTGGCGGGTTCGAATCCCCAGCCTGGACCCGCCAAACAACAATGACGGCTGCAACCAAAAAATAGCCGGGCATTGTGGCGGGCGCCTGTGGTCCCAGCTACTTGGGAGGCGGAGGCAGGAGACTCGCTTGAGCCCAGGAGTTGGAGGTTGCTGTGAGCTGTAATGCCACGGCACGCTACCCAGGGGGAGAGCTTGAGGCTCTGTCTCAAAAAAAAAAAAAAGATATACTTTTTTTACCCTTACCAAGGTAAAAAAATTATCTGGGTGTGGTGATGCACATTTGTAGTACCAGCTACTTGGGAGGCTGAGGCAGGAGGATCATCTGAGCCCAGTATTTCAAAGCTGCAGTGAGCTGTGATCACACCACTGTCTGCCAGCCTAGGTGATAAAGTTAAGATTCTATCTCGAAAAAGGAAAAAAAAAACACTAAATAGTTGACTAGATAAATACAAGTCTGTTTCTGGTCTTTACTCTGTTGCATTAATCTTCATGTCTGTGCTTTCACCAATAGGGTTCTCTTAATTATTGTGACTTTATAGTACATCTTGAAATCAGGTAGCATAAGGCCTCCTATCTTGTTTCCTATCTGTTTATATAAAAAAAAAAATTTTTTTTTGAGACAGTCTTGCTGTCAGTAGAGTGCCGTGGTGTCACAGCTCACAGCAACTTCAAACTCTTTTGGGCTTAAGTTATTCTCTTGCCTGAGCCTCTCAAGTAGCCAGGACTCTAGGCCCCCTCCACAATGCCTGGCTATTTTGTTGTTGTTGTTGCAGTTGTCATTGATGTTTAGCTGGCCCGGGCTGAGTTCAAACCTGGCATCCTCAGTGCATGTGGTCAGCGTCGTAACCACTGCTATGGGTGCCACCTTGTTCATACAGATTTTATTATCAGTTTCTTCAAGAAAGCCTGCTAGGATTTTGATCTTATGAATTTTTAAAATTCATACATTATGTGTTTCAGGAACAAAGAAAACTCAGCTCCATTAGAGGAAAATACCACAGGAAAAAGTGAGGCCAAAAAAAGGAAGATTGCAGAAACATCAAATGTGATAACTGAGTCGTTGCCATCTGCAGAATCAGAACCTGTTGAAATTGAGGTAGAGATTGCTGAAGGCACAATTGAAGTGGAAGATGAAGGCATGGAAACGTTAGAGGAAGTGGCTTCTGCCAAGCAGTCTATAAAGTACATACAGAGTACAGCTTCCTCTGATGATTCAGCTTTGGCACTGTTGGCAGATATTACCAGCAAGTACCGTCAAGGTGATAGAAAAGGGCAGATGAAAGATGAAGATGGCTGTGCATCTGACCCCACAAGCAAACAGGTAGAAGGTATTGAAATTGTGGAACTTCAGCTGTCACATGTGAAGGACTTGTTCCATTGTGAGAAATGTAACCGTTCATTTAAATTGTTTTACCATTTTAAGGAACACATGAAATCACACTCCACTGAGAGTTTCAAGTGTGAAATATGCAATAAAAGGTATCTTCGGGAGAGCGCATGGAAACAGCACCTAAATTGTTACCACCTTGAAGAAGGTGGAGTCAGTAAGAAGCAAAGAACTGGGAAAAAAATTCACATATGTCAGTACTGTGAGAAACAGTTTGACCATTTTGGACATTTTAAAGAGCATCTTCGAAAACATACAGGTAATTATGTTAAAAGTGTATTTTTTCCACATTCATTTCACTTCAAAAGTCTAGACATCTAAATCTCTTTTTTGAAATAGCACCTCAGAAGGCATCATCTGTATTTTCTAATGTGTAGGCTAAGTAGACATTGTTTTTGTTTTTATGGTGTTACTTTGTTGAAATATTGATGCTTTAAATGCAAATCAATATCAGCTTTGAAAGTAATTTGTCACTCTCATGCCTTGCCAATTTTTATATTTTTCCAAGAAATACATAAAACACAATTTGTACTTTATTTACTAGAGGTCATAAATTATTAAATCCTAAATATGGTGAAAGTGAGACTGTATTGTTTCTATTTTTACATTTGTTGAATACATTGCATAAGTTAAGTACATTTATAAGCGATTCCTGACATGTTCATACTTTTTTTTAGCACACATTTATTTACTTGCTTTGGCTCAGTAGATAGGTAAGCAATCTCTGTCCATCCTTTTTCACCACTTGAACAGCAAGTGTGTCAGGACTGGTAGACAGCCAGGGAGCTAATGAAGGCATGGTCTTTATGTTAATATTTCTCCAAGGACCCATCTAGGCATAAGGGAGATGTCTCAGGAAGTCTACCTTAGGGCCTTTGGCCCTCATAATTCTACATCTTCTATGCCTGGTCTTATCCATGTCAGACCGTCCCTGATTTTGCTCCTACTCTTCAGGCATCCTTTGCTAGATCTTCTGCACCAGTCCCAGGAGCTACCACCAGTGACTTGAATCTTGATTAGTTCCTGAATGCACTATAACAAGGGTGTGAAGAGAGCAGTTACTGTAATGTGCTAAGTGTCAGACTTCTGGGCACTTGTTCCTAAGTCTGTTACTTGTGGTGGTGAAGGCTGTTTGGACTGTTAATATAGTAAATAAAACATAGATATCCTGCAGAGTTCAGAATCTTTCTCTTTGATGCTGGAGTTTGAAGAGCTTCTGGTGAATTTTTTTAACCAAACACAGAAGGAATATACAGTATTCTTAGGATGTGAGACCTGCATATACTGAGGGCCGACTTGTGTGTGCAATCTTTTTTGAGACAGTCTCACTATGTCGCCCTCGGTAGGGTGCCGTGGCATAACAGCTCACAGCAATCAAACTCTTGGGCTTTAGTGATTCTTGCCTCAGCCTCAAGTAGCTGGGACTACAGGTGCCTGCCACAACGCCTGGCTATTTTTCTGTTGCAGTTGTTGTTTAGCAGACCTAGGCTGGATTCAAACCCACCAGCCCCAGTGTATGTGTCTAGTGTCCTAACCACTGAGCTATGAGTGCTGAGCCTGTGTATGCAGTTTTCAGGGCCAACTGCCAGATTGAGTATGGATTTTGGTATACTCAGGGTCATAGAACCAGTCCCCCACAAATACCAAAGGATGACTATACCTGTTTTATATTTAGAAACTGCTTTTAGTTATAATTTAGTTCTTAAAATGAATATTCCTGATGCAGCCCCTGTGGCTCAAAAGGGTAGGGCGCCAGCCCCATATGCCGGAGGTGATGGATTCAAACCCAGCCACAGCCCAAAAAAAAAGTGCCAAATATTTTTAAAAAAATAAAAATAAATGAATATTCATTTATTTTAAGGATTAATTTCACAAAAAGATTGGTATCACACCACCACAAGTAAATATTAGTAGGTAACTAGAAAACCTTGATATCAGTGTCCAGTAGTCCAAGAGATTATCAATAGCTTTTATATTATTTTCTCGGAATGTGAAAGTATCAGCAGTTGTCTTTTTTATCCAAAACATTACTTAGTAACTCTTACTTATTTGAAAATAGAATGATACAGATCACTTTGAAAGTGTGCTTTTCAGGTCCTATACTTTCTATTTTGGAGTAGACAGCAGAATTAGGGTTAAAGTACAATGTTGTACATCATTGTCCTCATCAAAATGTTT